ATTTGTAGGGAAACAAAACGCCCTGCCTAACCCTTGCTTTTCGGCTGTCACTCAGGCAGCCAGGGGCGATGGTTTGGGGAAATGAACGGCAGCTGGCAATTACGGCAGGAGAACATCGGGGGTAATGGGCCCCGGGAGGCTTTGTACCTTTCCCCCGACGCCGCAATCACAGCCGGTGCGAGGCGGGAGACAGCTTGATGGAGCCATCTCTGTCGGCCCGATGGGAGCTGTTCCGGAAAGGGTCAGGAAAGGGGGAGCTCTGTTGCGCAGGGAGAGGGGAGCAGGGCCGTTTGGGGGAAGCTGTCCTGTGAGTCATGAGGACGTCATCTCAGTGAAGTTCTGCCTGGTATCTTTTGAGAAAGACCCTTTTAAGAAAGCATAATGCTTAGGGAGTTATTTTAATGGACATCACAAAAATAGATGAGGCCCATGTCCATTAGGAGTATTATTATTATAGTAATGATACTGTTTGCAACACATTAAGTGGTAAAAGCAAGTCAATTTGAAGAAATGTGTTGTACCTATAAATAAAGGTGCCCTACAGCTTGGTGCTGAGGCACGCTGCAGTCCAGCCCCTTCCCGTCGCAGCCCCCCTGAAGGGAAGGGCGTTGTTCCACGCCCCCCAGTAAGCAAGTCACAAAGTCCTGGCCAGGGCCTGGATGCGGCCTCCAGCCCAGCGCCCCTTCCACAGTCCCACAGCGCCTCTCTCCCCTGCGGAAGGAAGGAAGGAGGTGGGGGAGAGGGAAACTCTCCGTGGGAATCAAGTTTCCATTTCAATTATTCAGCTGATCCTTGACCCCCATTACCATGGATAATCAAAAACTGGCTGGATGCATCATGTTTTAAATAAAAACATTGTTTAAGTGGCCCCAAGGACGTGCAGACAGATAATTGCATGGGGCACTCACGCAGTTACCCTTCGGGGAGGGGGGCCCTTTTCTATCTGCACAGAAATGAGAACTGCAGCCATCAGCACGAGGTCACACATCTGTGGAGTGCTCCTTTCTGAAGGGGCTTGACAGGTGCACCTCATTTCCCAGCCTACATGGGTTGTGATTACAAACCTCTTCTGACAGTGAGGACAGTGTGTGGAGGATGCGGAGGGGAGCTGACCTCCCAGACGACCGGACTTGAATGCAAATCCGAGTGCGCGTGTCCCCAAGGTGACTCGTTGTAGAGCCCCAGAGCTGCCTGTGCCGCTGTGACCCCTGCCCCCGGAGAGGTCAGCCTCAGGCTTCCCGTGTCAGGAGGGTTCCGCCTGGTTTGTACGTTTGTAAGGCTCTTGGTGCGAGGTCTGCCTTTGGCCCAGAGAGCGAGGGATTTGACAGGGCTCGTCACTCAGCAGACGCTGCCGGAGGGCTGCCTCTGTGCCCAGCACTGCGCGGGCTGTACGGCAGGGCGTGCGTGAAGGCCTGGCAGGGAGGCTGCGCTGGCGACACATGGGGCATGCGGCTGGAGAAGGGCTGCACGTACAGAGCAGGAGATGGGCCGTGCATGTCCATCTTGGGAGATTCTGCAGAGAGGAGGGGGTGGTATCTGTCTTGCTCGGCCTTGTGTGGCCTTGGTTCTTCACGTACTGTGTTCAAAAAAACAAACAAACATTCATTGATTTGGTGCATACTTTTGGGACTGTGACACTGTGCTAGGTGGGCACAGTTCTGGGTCCTTCCAGTGCTTTGAAGAGGGCCACCAGAGGTGGGGCTGGAAAGGCAGGTGGGAGGACGTGGGGAGAGGGACAGCACTTGGGGACCGGTCTGGCAGCTGCTATTGACTTGACTTGGGAGGCAGCGGGAATGACTTCTTTGTGCCCTGCTTGCAGGGGTGGTGGCCGGACCAGCCCCCAGCCAGTGCCTCTCCCTTCCTCTTTCTGCCCCCGAACGGCACACTCGGGGACTGGGGAAGGTCCCGAGGCCGAACCCCAGAGGCAGGGGCTCATTCTGCTCCTGGCTGTGGCTTCTCAGCAGGAGGGGGGGAGAGAGAGAGAGTGTGTGTGTGTGTGATTCTTCTGTGGCTTCTCAGCAGGAGTGTGTGTGTGTGATTCTTCTGTGGCTTCTCAGCAGGAGTGTGTGTGTGATTCTTCCGCGGCTTCTCAGCAGGTGTGTGTGTGTGTGTGTGTGTGTGTGTGAGATTCAGCAGGAGTGTGTGTGTGTGTGTGTGTGTGATTCTTCGGCCCGGTCTCACTGGGACCCTGGGGCGCCTGGCGTCTCCTCCTATTTCTGCTGTCGCTGCCTGTACCTGCACAAGCTCGCTTTGTCGCAAGAACAGCCATGGGAGACTGCGGTGTTGCCAGATGAAACTAGCTCCCGGCAAGGGAGTGATAGATCTTTTCTATTTGTTTCCTTGGTGAAAAAAAGGCTGGAGAAAGGAAGTTCACCATTCTTTGGAAATTATGTTTCTTTTCTTTTTTTGGTGACTATTGCCAATGCTGAGCTCATGGGCTGTCTGTTGTACCCGCTCTGGAGAGTTATGTTCTGGCGCTCAAGAACTTGGCTGGGGACTGATTATTATTACATCGAGGTATGAGTCGCGCACCATGAAATCTATCCTCTGAAGTGTACAATTGAGTGTTTTTTAACATAATCACACATTTGTGCAGTCACCACTATGATCTAGTTCCAGAACATTTTGAGCACCCCCAAATAAACCTTGTACCCATTAGCAGTCCCCCCCTCCTCCTTTCCCAATCCGTGGCGGCCACAAATCCACTTTCTGTCTCTGTGGGGTTGCCTGTTCTGGACATTTCCTAGAGGTGGAAGCCCGCAACATGGGGCCTTGTGTGTCTGGCTTCTCTCACTTAGCATAACGTTTTCAAGGGTCCTGAACGTGATAGCAGGTATCAGGACTTCATTTCCTTTCTGTTGCCTAATGATGGTCCATTGTATGGATGTTTGGATGTTTATCAGTTCATTGTCGATGTATTTATTTTCAATCAACTCCAAGGTTTTTTTTTTTCTTTGCTGTTACTGTTTTTTTTTTTTTTTTTAAGATTTCTATTTATTTATTTGACAGAGAGAGACACAGCGAGAGAGGGAACACAAGCAGGGGGAGTGGGAGAGGGAGAAGCAGGCCTCCCGTGGAGCAGGGAGCCCGACGCGGGGGCTCGATCCCAGAACCCTGGGATCACGACCTGAGCTGAAGGCAGACGCTTAACGACTGAGCCACCCAGGCGCCCCTGCTGTTACTGTTTTTTAATCAATGTTTTAGCTCTTGTACAGGAAACTTCTTCACTAATTTATCTTAATGAAGTGTTTTCAAACTGTAACTTTGGAGAAAAAAGGCAAATCAAAGTCCTTTTAGGATATAGAGACAAATTTGTCCTTGAGGACCTTCTTAGCCAAGCTTCTGGACCAGGCCTCTCAGAGAGTGGGGGTGGCAGTGTCCCAGAGAGCCTCACCCCTTTCTGCTTTGGTCCCTCCTTTTCCACAGCACTCAAGCTGCCAGGGCCCTCCCCCCCACGACCGGCAAGGCCGTTGTCTTCACCATGAGAGCTTGGGTGTCTGTTGGCTCATGCCAGCTTGTGTTTCCAGTAGCCCCCGTGCCCCCCTTGTCCACGGCTGCCCATGGCCCTCTCCCTGTTGAGTCAGGGGAGCATGTAGAAGTCTGGCCTTCGTGAACTTTCCGGCCTTCCCAGCTTGCCTCTTGCTGCCACTTCTGCCATCAAACTTTTCCACATCCGGCAGTGCCCAGCTCATCTGTCATTTTCTCCAGGAAGTCTCCCGAAACTTTCTTCCTCTGGGCTCTGGCAAAGTTTTGTTTGTATGTCTGTTGTGGCCAGGGGTGTTTCTGACAGTATTTAACAACGGAAGAGGTGCAAGCACCAGCAAATCAGAACGGACGGTGTCAGAGCCAGGCAGGTATTTACTCCTGGCTTCTGGGTTCTGGGGATGTCCGGGGGGCTTGAGGAGGGGACTCTGAGGTGTGGCCATGCCACACATGCCAGCCGAGTTCCGTCTCACGCACATGGACCGGTTGCATCAAAGCTGGCTCTGCATCGGTCACTTTTCCATTTTCAATGGCATCCTCCCTGTGGCCTCTGGCACAGCCAGTGAGGTGCCTGCTCACTGATGCTGGGGGGACGGGGAGTGGAAGCCACGTGAATCTGCATCATTTGGTTCTTCCAAAGCCTAGATCACTCAGCCAGATGAAGTTTGCCCCCAAACCCAACCTAGCTGAACATGAGTCTTAGATACTTGACCAGCTGGACATTACTGACGGCAAAGTGGGGCAAGGAAGCCTCCCTCTCCCAGTGAAAAACTAGCACATTCAGAGCAATGGGACACCGGTCTAAAGGAGTTGATGTGCCCCCAGTCCGCATGTCCAGAGTTGCATCTGGTCAACCCTGTTTCTCTCTTGAATGCACTTCTTTCCAGTAGCGTACCCCATTTTGCTGTCAGCCTCCACCACTTAGAACAACTGTATTTTTCCCTCTCCATTGCTGTCATGTTTGGTCCTTCCAAAGTTGTAGGGAGAGAGGGGGACTCAGGGTGCACAACTTAAGGGACACCTGAAATGCACTCGTCGGCACTTGTCGGGGTAATAGTTCACTGCAATGTGTTACAAATAAAAATGAATGGAAACAGTTCCAGGTTGGACAGACTATTCAAGTTGTAAGTGGGGACAGCACCCCAGAGATCCTTGTGAGGTCTCCCACCATATCACCTGCAGTGGAAATGCTCGTTCTGGGCCCTTGGGAAGCTCCAGGTATGCATGTGAAGGCTGTGCAGACGCTCTTTCCAACCCCACAGCCAGGAAGGGACCACACTGACTCTACTTCTTACCAACCTGCCCAGAAAAACCTCCCCTGTGGTGCAGGGGGCTGCACACCCTCATTTCCAGGGGGCAGGCTCTGTTTATGGTTGTTAGATCAATAGTCACAATTACCAGACTCGAGCTGTGGCTCTATTTTTTCCCCTGTGTCTAGCTCTTCCTGTTTTCTAAGGGCTGCTACTGTGACATTAAGTAATGTATAGAAAATAATGTACTTCCTATTTCTGAGCCAGCCCGGGTTTCGTCTCTGCTTGAGTCTCCTCCGTGCTGCTCAGAATGGTGCTTTTCCCAGTTAGATACAGAGTTGCCTCAAAGGCCAAGCAATGAGGGAGCCATCCTCTTTTGCTTTATTTTCTAAGATGCAGGGAGCATCTCTCTGTGCTTTGAGATGCTGCCTGCAGAGTGGGAATGGTGGAAGATGCCTCAGACACCTTCTCAGCAAAGAGTCGCAAACTCCCTACGTGGAGTGGGAGGAGGGTGTGTGAGCCCCCTCTGTCCTCGGGAAGGGGGCTGCCCACAGGTCTCTTCAGGAACTATGGATATCTTCTCAGTTTCTGGCCAGGTCATTTGTGTTTGAGTTGGAGCATCATTGGCTGAAAATCATCACGCTTCATAAAGGTATGTAACATGTCCCATGAGACAAGCATATAGAAGAAGCCAGCTAAAAAAAAAAAACCAAACTTTTTTTTTTACCCTGTGTTCTTAATGATATATTTATCTTCAAGCATGCAGTTAAAAAGAAATACCACGTAAAACTGGGTCTGACCCAGTTCAGTAATTCTCTTGTGTGCTTAACAGCACTGTTGCTTTTGTCAAAATATTTACTGCAATTCATAATGGCTGTCAGAAACCAGGTCCACAATCCATGTTTGACTAAACATAAAACAACCTATAGGAAATTTGTGGCATTGTAAGCAGTTTTTTCCAATGATAGACCTAATTAAAATGGAGGTGTGAACTGTTTAGAAATATTAGTTATGTTAGCCCAAGAGTTTGCAAAACTAAATGTACAGTAGATTCTAAAAAGGTATTTGATACAGATCCTATTTATGGCACTTGTACTGATCACCCAAGGGTAGCATTTTTCAATGAGATTTACAAGGGACCATGGACCCTGGGCCACGTATTTACACACATATTTGGCTTCCCAGTGTCCAAAATAGCTGAGAGCTGCAGGGTCTGTCAGATAAGCTATGGAGCCATGCTCTGAGAGGTAATGTGCTTCTCTGTTCCCGTAGCAAATCTTTCTGTAAGAATGAAACCAGAGATGTTATCTGCCAAAATGCAGCGAGGGACAGGATGCGAGCTAGAAAAATGATAGCATTGGGTGGCTGGGAAAAGCAGAATCAACGTCAGGGCCAGTTTAAAATAATGTGCCTAATTCTACTGCCCCAGATAAGAGCAGGCATTTTGGACCACAAGGCTAATGTCAGAGCGAGTGTGGAGGTTCTGCAGCCATCTTGGGGGCTGTGGGAAGACCCTGAGAAGCCAGGGGATGAAGATGGGCTTCCTCATTTGCACTTCGGCTGAGAAGTCGGGGAAGGGGTACGGTCACGGAGGAGGAAATCCACGTGATCGGGGTCATCCAGAAGAATCCACATGATCACTTCGTGGTGACCTATGGGAAATGAGGCCACCACAAGAGGCAAACAGGTACCAGGCAGAGACTTTTCTCCTGGTAGAAATTGTAAACATGTATGCAGAGAACCAAGCTTGCAGAAGGGAGGTGGGGGACTTCTGTTTGATTAAGAGGGAAAATCCTAACGTGTAGTACCTGCTGTGCACACACCAATCACATTTATTGTGTTTCCAATTTTTTGAAAAAGTGGACGTGAGCCCCACTTCTTATATCAGGAACGCTCAGCTTGGAGAAGTTGGGTGGCTTATTCAAAGTCACAGAGTTTGTCAGTAGCAGCAGACTCAAAGGCAGGTGTTGTCTCTGGAGTCTAGGGATTCCACGCGGCCCTTCTGGGTGTGGTGCTGCAGTGGTGGCTGAGTGGCCCTGGGATGGCCACACTGGCGGGGAGTTTCTGCAGGGCCCGTTTGAGACATCAAGAGGTAACCTTTTCTCTGCTTTGGCTTGCAACCAAGTGAGCACGGTCTTTGCAGACCTTCATTGCTTTAGCTGTGGTTTCATGATGACCACTCAGTATTCATAGCCATGGTGGAGCTTTTCCATATATGGTAGTAATGTCCTATGTCCTTCGAATATAAGAGTACATAAGGACAGACCTGTACCTCTGAAACAAATAATACATTATATGTTAAAAAAGAAAAAAAAAGAAAAAGATAGTAGGAAGGGAAAAATGAAGAGGGGGAAATCGGAGGGGGAGACAATCCATGAGAGACGATGGACTCTGAGAAACAAACAGGGTTCTAGAGGGGAGAGGGGTGGGGGGATGGGTTAGCCTGGTGATGGGTATTAAGGAGGGCACATTCTGCGTGGAGCACTGGGTGTTATATGCAAACAATGAATCATGGAACACTACATCCAAAACTAATGATGTAATGTATGGTGATTAACATAACATAATAAAATAAAATTAAAAAAAAAGAATACATAAGGAGAAGGGGTTGGTACAAAGAAGACCACGTCCAGGAAAATGATGCACGTTGAGTCCATTACTCCAAGGGGAGCCTTGTGGCACTCCCGGCTAGGGACATGGTTTTAGTTTAGGGAAACTACAGGTGCTGCATTAAATACATTGACTCACACACTGGAAAGGTGGTTCCTATTTCAGTTATTTATTTATTTATTTATTTATTATTTTAATAAATTAGCCTTTTGTTTTGAGATAATTGTAGATGTGCATGTGGTTGTAAGAAAACCAGAAAGACCCCTGTAGCTTTTATCCAGTTTCCCCCAATGGTAACGTCTTGCAGATCACAACTAGGATATTGATGTTGGTATGGTCACTTTGCAGACCATTTCCATCATTACAAGTATCCCACCCTCACAGTCATGCTCACTTTTCTCCTGCCCTCCTCCTCTTAACTCCTAGTAACCACCAATCTATCTTCCAGTTCTAGAATTTGTCACTTTAAGAATGTTATATGGATAGAATCACACAGCATGTAGCCTTTAGGGATTAACTTTCCTTGCTCAGCATAATTCTCTGGAGAATCATCTGAATTGTTCTGTATATTAATAGTTCACCTCTTTGGGGTGCCTGGGTGACTCAGTCAGTTAAGCCGTTGCCTTCGGCCAAGGTCATGATCTCAGGGTCCTGGGATCAAGCCCCGCATCGGCTCCTTGCTTAGCAGGGAGCCTGCTTCTCCCTCTCCTCCCCACTCGTGGTCTCTCTTGCTATCTCTGTCTGTCTGTCTCTCTCTCAAATAAATAAATAAATAAATAAAGTCTTAAAAAAAATAGTTCACCCCTTCTTATTGCTGAGTAGTATTCTATGATGTGGATGTACCACAGTTGGTTTAAACATTTGTCTGTTGAAGGACTTCTGGGCTGATTCTAGTTTTTTGCTCTTATAAATAAAGCTGCTATGAATATTTGTGTACAGGGTTTTGTGTGGACAGAACTTTTCCTTTCTCTGGAATAAATGCCCAGGAGTGCAATCCCTAGATTGAGTGGTAGTTGTATGTGTAACTTTTTTTTTTTTGAAACTGCCCAACTCTTTTCCAGAATGGCTGTACTACTCCACACTCACCCCGCCAGTGTATCTAGTGAATCAACATCCTCACCTGTGTTTGGTGGTGTCACTGTTTTTTGTTTTTGACATTCTGATAGGTGTGCAGTGATATTTCACTGTGGTTTTAATTTGCATTTCTCTGATGGCTAATAATGTTGAACATGTCATGAGCTTGTGAGTCTGTAGGTGCTCTTCACTGTCTTATAAACAGGGGCTTTCACAGAGCAAGGATTTTTCATCTTCAGCTCAGGTCTGAAAACTTTTTAAAATTTTTTATTGTTATGTTAATCACCATACATTACATCATTAGTTCTTGATGTTGAAAACGTGTTTTTTTAGAGAGAGCACGAACAGGAGGAGGGGCAGAGGGAGAGGGAGAAGCGGACTTCCCATTGAGCAGGGAGCCTGATATGGGGCTGCATCCCAGGACTCTGGGATGATGACCTGGGCCAAATGCAGATGCTTAACCAACTGAGCCATCCAGGCGCCCCTGAAAACTCTTTCCTATGCCCTAGATCCTGAAGATTTTCTCCAGTGTTTTTTTCTAGAGCTTTCTGATTTTACATTTTACATTCAAGCCTGTCTCACATTTTGAGTTTTTTGTCTACATAAGGTGTGAGGTTGAGGCTGACCTTTATTTTTTGTACCTATGCATGTCAGTTGCTGAAAAAGTTACATACTCCCTCCACTGAATTGCCTTTGAACCTTTGTTCACAATCAGTTGGGTATATTCGTGTGGGTCTAATTCTGTTTTTTAGGAAAATTCTTTTGATCGTGTGTCTCTTCCTCTGTGAATACAACACAGTCTTGATTACTGTAGCTGTGTAATATGTTTTCAAATCAGGTAGACTGATTTGATTCTTTCCATTTTACTATCATTTTTCAAAACTGAGTTATTCCAGTTCTTTTACCTTTCTATATAAATTTTAGAATAGTCTTGTCTATGCCCATAAAAAGTCTTACTGGGATTTTGATAGGAACGGACTTGAGCCTGCGTGTCAGTCTGGAGAGAATGGACATCTTTACCAAGGTGAGTTTTCCAATCTGTGGACACAATGTCTCCTTCTTCATTTAGACCTTCTTTGAGTTCTTCCATTAGTGCTTTCCACTTTTCAGCAAATAGGTCCTGTATAGGTTTCATTAGATTTATACCTAAGTATTTCAGTACTGTTGAGTGATTCTAAATGGCACTGTATTTTAAGCTTTGGTTTCCAGTTGTTCATTGCTAGTTATAAAAGTAGAATTGACTTTTGTATGTTGAACTTGTATCATGTGACTTTGATGAATTTATTAGTTCTAGGAATTTTTTTTGTAGATTTCTTGGAATTTTCTACATAAACAATCATGTCATTTGCAAAAAAGGGACAGTTTTATTTCTTCCTTTCCTATCCATATGTCTTTCATTTCCTTTCTTGCTTTATCACACTGGTTGGAACTTCCAGTACTGTGTTGAATGAAAATGATAAGAGAGGCATCTTTGTCTTGTTCCCGAACTTAAGGAGGAAGTATTTCAGTTTTTTGCCATTAAGTGTAATATCAGCTGTAGATGTTTTGTAGATGCTCCTCATCAAGTTGAGAAACTTTCCCTCTATTTCTGCGTTCTGAGAGATTTTACCACATGTAGATTTTGACTTTTGTCGAAAGCTTTTTCTACATCAGTTGGTGTGATCATGTGACTTTCCTCCTTTACTGTGTTAATGTGGTGGATCCTATTGGTACATCCTTGGAACCCTTGGCCATGGTGTATAGTTCTTTTTATATTGTAGTCTGTTTGCTAATATTTTTGTGAAGGATTCTGCCTCTATATCCAAGAGGGATGTTGCTCCATAGTTTTCTGTTTTGTGCTGTCTTTGGTTTTGGTGTCAGGGTAACATGTAGATTCCTAAAATTAGTTAGGAAGTCTTCCCTTCCCTTCTATTTTCTGGAAGAGGTTGTATAGAATTGGCATTGATTCTTTTTTAAACATTATGTAGA